GGAACACTTCATCCTTCAGTTTATCACAAACATTCATCATCAACACATATTTTATTTCATTTTATTGTATTGTTTTGTATTTTATTTTATTTTATTTTATAAGATTTTATTTTATTTTCTTTTATAAGATTTTATTTTATAAGATTTTATTGTATAAGATTTTTTTTTATTTTATAAGATTTTATAAGATTTTATTTTATAAGATTTTATAAGATTTTAATTTATAAGATTTTATAAGATTTGCAACTTCAAATTAGACGACAGGGGGCGGTGATGCACCATTGGATACATACAACATAAAATCTAACATGAAGAAGAAGAAGAGCTACATCGTCGGTCCTTAATCCAATCAGTGGAGTGGGCGCCGCATTAGTCCCCGCCCCCCAGAGAAACCGCCATCATGAAGTTAGAATGAGGAAAGTGACAGATGAACACAGCCCGCTGCTCCACTACGAGGTAAACTTTTCACAGCTTCTCAGCTAACGCGAGCTAAGTGACAGTTTGAACATGTTGGGACCTTTTTGAGGAGTTTGTTGCCGCGCTATGTAAACGGTTCACATCGTTATTACTCTCTTAGCCGCGCGCTTAAATTATAGTGCGCCTCTATGCTGAGATTCACGGTAAACGCATTCAAACGGCACAGATCGGGAGCGAGCGAAGGACTTTGGAAAATTAGCGGAAAGATTAACGTGAGACAACATCCTGTTTTCAAAATAAGATGTCAACTAAGCGTATATACAAATTTTATATGTGGAAATAATAAATGAATTATGTTCACATTAAACGTAAAACCTGTTACCTACATCTCGTGAGTTAAAGGGAAATTATTATTAAATTATATAATATCATACAAGCTGCCCTCAAATCAAATAATATACATGTCATCCACAATTCAGTTGTATTTTCCCTTTAACTCACGAGCTGCAGGTAACATGTTTTATACTTAATATGAATATAATAAATTTTCTCTTATTTCCATTTATGCAAAATGTTTATACACTTTGTTGTCATCTCATTTTGAAAACCGGATGTTGTCCCACGTCTGAAATCCGGATGTTGTCACGTTAATCTTCCCGTTAACTTTGCAAAGTGTCCTTCTCTCGCTCCCGATCTGTTCCGTTTGAATGTGTTTACCGTGAATTTCAGCATAGAGGCGCACTAAAATATAAGTGTCTGCTGAGTTGAGCGCATTGTAGCTAACGGCGGTGTTAGCAGGCAGTAGCTAGCTGTGTGGACGAGCAAACACTGAGCTTTGTTTTGTTTGAGGACACAATAGTTAATAAAGGTTAACTTGAAGCATCAGACATCATTAATGAATCTGTCGTTTTAAAGCACTAGAGCTCCTTCCGGGTTAAACTTCATAGAAATAACACATTACTAGAAGATTACATTACGGGTCAGCATGCATCTTATGAGTCAACTATATGAACTAAAGAGCATTAATGAGTTTTGAGAGACCTCACCAAAGATGCATATTCATCAATCCTACAGGTTCAATAATACAGATCCTGCAGCTTTGTGAGGAAGCGTCTCATTCAAGTGTGTGGGGATGTTTTACTTTAACTTATTCAGTCAAATGAATACAGACCCTTGAATGTAAGACTTTACTCACATAGATTAAGATTTATTTCTTCATAAAAGGCTCCATGAACACGTCATTTGACTTGTGTGTGTGTGTGTGTGTGTGTGTGTGTGTGTGTGTGTGTGTGTGTGTGTGTGTGTTTGTGTGTGTTAAAGATTGTGCGTGTATGATGCATTCATTACCAGACCAGCATGGAGGGATCGCGGTGACGTGTCCGTCTTTCTCCCGATAGGACGGATCGATACTCGGACACACTGAGGCAGCGATGGACAGCTCTGCGGCTTCAGAGGAGGAAGTGGAAGAGCAGCAGGAGACGTCACAGGAGGACCAGTCGAGTCCCAACAAGAGCTCCAAGACATCTGGTAGAGTCAAGGAGAGGGTTCACTTCCTCTGTTGCTCCTTCAGTCACAGACGACTAAACACCAGACTATGACGAACCTTTGACCCACACACACACACATACACACATTCCGTTCATGCAGGGTGCGGTCACCTGTTGACGCATTCAGTTTATTGAAGAGCAGGTTCCTCACCTGTGAATAAGTGGGTGTGTATTATGTCTTTGTGTTTTAATGTCACACAACGTGTCAACACTCATTGGTTCATAAGACAACAGAGAAACAGCTGCAGTGGACAAACATTTCATTCAGTTCATGTTATTTCACCGCTCGGTCTTCAACACAACATTCTGTTTTTCACAGTTATCAGCCAAAATAAATCAGCATGAATGGAGGTTATTTTATTAAAGAGTACGTCTCGTGTGTCTTATATAGCACAGTAAAACACAAGGTGCACCTCCTTCTCAATTCACTCAGTTGATTAACGCCTTTCTAGACTTCTGATCATTCCAATTTTTGTAAAATAATCAAAGAAATTCAACTTGTGTTTTTTCTTTTTAATGATTGATGACATCATAACTGTTATTCTGCACTAAAGTCATGTTCTAGTTCTCTCTACTTCTACTCATGATGGCTCTGTTTCATAGAGGAGCAGGACTTTTATTTTGTAGAGAAAATCAAGACCTCAGAGAGACGAATATAAGGGAGACAAAGCTGATTTCTTCGTCTCTGTCGTTGCAGCAGCAGGCGACATCGTTGAGGGTAAGCGGGCAAAGAAGACAGTCGAGAGGCTCGATTTGCAGGCTCCGAAGCCGAAAGAGAAGCTCAGGATTGGAGACGGTCAATATTGAACCTTTTATTTTGAAGCATCTCGTAGCTGGATACGAGTGTTGATTATTTAACCATAATGTGGACGAGTGTGTTAAGTGTGTCTGCTTGTTTTGTCTTCAGGTAGTGGAGATAAACTGGGAGACATTCCACGCACCGGTCACCAGATCACCAAGATGAAGGCGGCCAACCTGAGACCTCTGCACGCCATCCTGTTCGACAGGCCGGGGAAGGTACCAACATCTGGATGGTTTAACATGAACAGACTGTTCAGTGATGCAGTCTGTGTTGTTATCGTCAGAGATGCTCCTTCCTTTAGGGGTGTTGAGTTACCAGGTCTACCGTTGTGGTGAGTTTAACGTTTAACGTTGTTTCCTCAGATGACCACGCTGAAGAAGAACCTGCGTCTGTTTAACGGCTTTCCTTTTGACGCCGACAGCGAACATTACACCAAGAAACGAGAGAAACTCCTCAAGTACGTTTGTGTTCTTCAACAAGACAAAGATACACAGACACACACCCATAATTAAGAACATGCATGTTGTCTTTCGTTGACTGCAGGAACTCTCACTTTACGAACCCCAAACTGAAAGTGGTCTGTGGAGTTCTGGACCTGGAGAAGAAAGGAACTCACTCTGATCTGGTCGACAGGATCCTGACGTTCCTCATCGCACCGAGAAACAGCGGGAAGGTGAGCGGAGAGTTCGGTGGTTCAAACTTAAACTTGAGTTCAAGAGAGCAGCCGAGCAGTCACGGTAGGACATCTTGACATCGTGACTGTTGTCAGAGGAGATATCATATATTGACGTGTGAGACCCTGAAGTTAACCTCTCATTTCCTTCGGCAGCGTCTCCATGTGAAGAAGAAGAGGAAATCAAAGAAGAAGCTGTCGGGCGACGACTCGCAGTCCAACGCCAAGAAGAAGAGCAAACCCAAACCCAGCAGCTCCTCGCCCAGCCCCAAGAAGTCCAAAGCAGGAAGCAAGTCCAAAGCAGGAAGCAAGTCCAAAGCAGGAAGCAAGTCCAAAGCAGGAAGCAAGTCCAAAGCCATCGTCATGGACTCCAGCAGCGAGGAAGAAGAGAAGGCGAGGGGGGTTTTGGTGGAGGCCGAGGGATCGGATGCGGAGGACAAACCGTCAGAGAAAGAGGAGGACCGGTCTCACAAGGAGGAGGAGTCTGTAGACAAGGAAGAAGAAGAAGAAGAGGAGGAGGAAGAAGAAGATGAGGAGGTGAGGTTGTCTAGG